TTTATAGCAAGATGCTTCTAATTTTTTTTGGTGTCCATATCTAATTATTAATCAGGTTTTTTATGTTAAAAAACAATTTGTATAAAAGTCTGTATTATTCTTGTCTTCTATACTCACTATGATACAAAGTTCATACTTTGTATATCCACTGTGGTTATTACAATTAGGTTCTAAAGTAAGTGCAAATATGCATAACATAAAGGGGGAGATACATATGTGTATAGATTTAGAAATAATTTCTCTTCCTAAAGATCACAGGCCCGGCAGGGCGCAGTGGCTCCCAACTGTAATCCCAGTGCTTTGGGAGGCCGAGGTGGGTGGATCACTTGAGGTCAGGAGTTCAAGACCAGCCTGACCAACATGGTGAAACCCGGTCTCTACTAAAAATAGAAAAATTCGCTGGTTGTGGTAGTAGGTGCCAGTAATCCCAGCTACTTCGGAGGCTGAGACAGGAGAATCGCTTGAACCTGAGAGACAAAGGTTGGCCGTGAGCCTGGATCATGCCACTTGTACTCCAGCCTGGGTGACACAGCTAGATTCCGTCTCAAAAAAAAAGACCCATGGCCATCTTCACTTCCTTCTCTTAAGAATTATAAGTTTTTTAAAAAGCTGTTGAAAGCAGTCAATATAAATCAAATGAATTCAGTTTGGCTTCTGAGATAGAAAATAATAGCATAATTCTGTGCACTAATTTTAAAATTATTAAGAGAAAAATATTCCATTCAACATGCAAAACAAACATGTGTGACTCAGTTCTTCCGGCATCTAGGGATAATATTGTTGCCCCTCCTCCCCAAAAATAGAATAGGAGAGGGGGGAAAACATATAAACCAGAAGAGGGGAAAACTTAAAAATGCCATACAAAATCACAACAGAAGAGGCAAAGTAACATGCAGATCTTCACGAAATCATTTTCTTCTTTGAATCATTGATTTCGAGTAATAGTCTAGATGACACCAATGGTTCTCAAATTTTAGTGGGCCCCAGAAACACCTGATAGGCATGTTAAAGCACAAATTGGACCCCACTCAAATTTATCATTCACTAGATATGCGGTGGCACTCAACAGTTTTCATTTCTAACAAGTTTACAAGTGTCCAGACTTTGAGAATCACTAACTAGACCTTTCTATAGTCCATTAACCTCTCTTGGCATTCACCTAATCTTCAGTTGGGAAAAAATGGGAGCTAAGAATGGCTCCAGTTTACATTTCTCAAAGTAGTCAAGTTTTTAAAAATTATTTTTTCCTATTCTTTATGTGTTATATATATGATCCTCTTAACAGTATTACTGTGTTGTTCATGATATGCAGATTAGATTTTTGAAATGACTTCCCGATTGGAGTTTCTTTTACTAGGGAACTAAGTGAAGAAGTGGAATTAAGCTACTTCTGGAAGTAAGTTTTGTTAAATAAACTACACCTAAATGTGCATAGTATTTTTAATTCATTCAAATACATACCATATGCAAGCATCATGCTAAAAGCTTAAAAGGTAAACGTGGACAAAAACATATAGGGTCTCTGCTCTCATGGAATTTAAGAATCTACTGAGGGAGACAGATAATCACCTGAACATGTAATTAAGTTGATAAATGCTCCAAGTGAAAGATGCATGGTAGTTGTAATATAACAATTTATGAAAAACTGATTTCCAGGGTAGCCAAACATTTTACATTTCTACCACAAATGCATGGAAGCGGCTCTCCATAATCATCAGAATATAGTGTTACCAGCTATTCTAATAGGTGTTCAGTGGTATCTTGTCAGAGTTTTAATTTGGACTTCCCTATTAACAGACAATGATGCTGAACATCATGTGCTTATTTATTATCTGTACAGCTTCTTTGATGAAGTGTCTGTTAAGTCTTTTGCCCATTTTCTAATTGGATTATTTATTCCTAATACATTTTGCCAGTCCTTTATATATTCTGAACGCAAGATTTCTGTTGAACATGTGTTTGCAAGCATTTTTGGTTTATGGCTTGCCCTTTCGTCCTCTTTTAACATGGTCTTCTAAAGAATTTTTATCTTTTAGTTTTTAAAAAATTCAACTTTTTAAAGGAATTTTAATATCAGTTGGCCTAACCCTTGCTCAAGATTTCCTGTTTGCTTCTAAGTTTTAGTTTTAGATGTTACAGTAAGAACTATGACCCATTTTGAATTAATTTTTGTTTTAGAGACACGGTTGTGCTCTCTTGCCTAAGCTGGAGGGCACTGGTGTGATGATAGTTCACTGCAGCCTCAAACTCCTGGTCTTAAGTGATCCTTCTACCTCAGCCTCCCAAGTAGCTGGGACAAAAAGCATATGATACTGTGCTCAGCTAATTTTTAAAAATTTTAGAGACAAGTTCTCACTATGTTGCCTACCCTACTTTCAAACTCTTGGCCACAAGCTGTCCTCCCATCTCAGTCTGCAAACTAGCTGAGATTACAGGTATCAGCCCCCATGTCCAGGGCATAAAAGTTTTTATAAGGTAGAAGGATTAGGTTGAGGTTTTTCCTTCTTGGCTACAACTGTTCAATTGTTCCAACACTATTTGTTCAAAGTTCAATTTTTCCAATATAATTCATTTATTGCTTATGTACTTTTGTCAAAAATTAGTTTTTCATAGTTGTGTAAGTCTATTTCTGTACCTATATTCTGTGACTATCACTGATCTGTATGTCTATCACTACCAAAACCACACAATCGGTAACAATATCACAGTCCCGATTAATGTACTTATGCGTAGTATATGGCTGTGTGATTTTTCCAACTATATTGTTTTCAAATTGCTTAAGATATCCTAGTTCCTTTGTTCTTCCATGTATTTTAGAATCAGATTCATTTTGGTTCTTTAGAATTAGAATGGTTCAACAAAGAATCCTTCTGGGATTTTTACAGGAATTTTTCATAGGAATTTTTATAGGAATTGTATTAAACCCATAAACTTGGGGCAACTTAGATAATATAGTCTTCCAATCCATATAAATGGCATGTTTTGGACTCTTTAAACATTTACAATCTATTTTCTCTTTGAAGCTTGCTACCTGGAGGATTTACCTGCATGATAAAACCTCGGTCTCCACAACCCCTGATTGTATACCAGATATCCCTTTCTGTTGATAATAACCAATTGTCAATCAGTTCTATCTTTGGATTTGTCTGACCTGGAAGCCCCCACTTCCAGTTGTCCCACCCTCCTGGACCAAACGAATGTACATCTTACCTATACTGACTGAGGCCTTATGTCGCTCTAAAATGTATAAAGCCAAGTTGTGACCCAATTACCTTGAGCACATGTTCTCAGAATCTTTTGAGGGTTGTGTCACAGGCCATTAGTCACTCATATTTGGCTCAAAATAAATCTCTTCAAATATTTTAGAGTCTAAATCTTTTCATCAACAAGGTCCTATAGATGTTTTGTTAGATTTATACTTAGTATTACATTTTGTGATTGTAAATGGTGTTATGTAGAAATGTAATTTGATTTTTGTGTGTTGATCTTGTATTTTGTGATCTTGCTAAATTCACTAGTTCTTGTAAGTTCTTGGAGATTTCTTAGGACTTTGTATGTAAACAATAACGTTAAATGCAAATATAAAGTTTTTTTTTTTTTTCATTTCCAATCTCTGTGCCTTTTATCCCCTTTTCTTATGTTACTGCACTAGATTTCAAGTACTACATTGAATAGGAGTGGTGACTGTACACATCCTTATCTTGTTTTCCATTTACTGGCTCTTAACATGGCCTTTGAGGGTCTGTATAATATCAGAACCAAGGGGAGAATTCAGCTTTTTAAAATTGTAAACTATGTCCTTCCAATTTTACTTGTAACTTATGTCCTTCCACTTTCCTACCCTTTGAATTCAGTTACACTCCCAGCACTTCGGGAGGCTGAGGCAGGCAGATCGCTTAGGCCAAGAGTTTGAGACCAGCCTGGCCAACATGGTGAAATCCTGTCTCTACTAAAAATACAAAAATTAGCCAGGCATGGTGGCATATGCCTGTAGTCCCAGCTACTCGGAGGCTGAGCACAAGAATCACTTGAACCTGGGAAGTGGAGGTTGCAGTGAGCTGAGATCACACCACTGCACTCCAGCTTGGGCAAGAGAATGAGACTGTCCCCCCCAAAAAAGTGAAACTAAGGCAGACAGCTGTAAAAGGCACTGAATTACTTATTACACAAATGTAACTGCTAAACACTAATCCAGTGACTGACGGGGGGAGGCTAGAAGGGGAAAAGGTAGTGAGGCAACATGTAGGCACTATTTTCTTTACAGAAAATGTAGATTTCAAATGGTTCACCATGTTGAAAATGCAGTTACTAATTTCACATGTACAAAGAGTGCATCTTTGTGGTAACAATGATTAGCAGAGAATTACCTTTGTATGAGAAGAGTTCACAGAAGATATTAATCAGCTGCTTATTACTCATGGCAAAATAAAATGAAAATGACTGTAATATGAAAGATTAGACTAGACATGGAGAATTATTTACTAGCAGAACTATTCAAAAGGTTAAAAGAAGCTATTGACGATACCTTTCTTTCTAAACACTGCTAGATTGTCAATTCCTCCACATTCCCACTTGCCCAAAGCAGCAATGACAAGTCTGCAGATGCCTCTGTAAACTGCTGCTAAAAAAATTTAAATATATTTATTATAAACAAATACCATAAATACTTGCTGTGAACAGTTGCTATTTTAAAAACCGATTTGTGTCTAAATGAAGTTTAACTTTCAAAGTCTCTTCTATTTTACTGAAAGATATGAAATACTGTTGAAGTTAGCATAATGGTTGTTTATTATGAAAAAAGAAAAATAAAAAATTCTAACTAAGGTAATGATAGAACAGAAAAATAGTAATACTTTTGTTTCTAAGGATAGTTTTAATTTTCTTACTTTTTTTCAAAATTAAAAATAACTCAGCCACTACAATCCCGTTAATCCCTATACAATCCTTGAATATTCTTTCATGTAATTTACTATTAAAAGGTTCAATAAATATAACTTGCATAAAAGTTAAATTTAGGTTTCATAACACATATTTACCTTAAGGCATTTTATAGGTAAAAATCTCAATTATGTCCTACATTAAAACAAAAATTTTACAAAGAAATATTGCTGAACTTTGGAGAATGACATATTTTAAGCAAGATTCATCAGAAGATTCATCAGAAACTATTCATTATAGCAGAGAAAATAATTCAAATAGCCTACTCAAATGTACAGCAAAATCCAACTCAACAATATAAACAAAGTCAAAATAATCTGCTTCTGTCAGCTACATACGCTGTCTGTTTCCTATACCAGTAAGGAGTTAACTAGAAACTGAGTTCTTAAACAATATATTTATTATAACAAAATGAAGTGAGAATCTTCATACACAAGTTTAATAAATCATCACGGTTTATTTAACAAGGTTATTCTACATTAGGTTTATATGTATGTGTGTGTGTGTGTGTATATGTGTTTGTGTGATATGAAGAGACTGATGTACAATCAGTAAGTCTTAAATCTCTATTCCATGGATTTCCCCCATCTTCCCACTTAGCAGTAAAAGGCATTTTTAGGTTTATATAAACACATTCTTTACAACTGCCTTCTTAACAGAAAATTACTGTAGTATATAAATAGCACTGGGCATTTAGTAAGTAAGTTACAGGCCAATAAGTTCAATTGTGCAGTTTTGAAATCTAATGTCAGAGTTTTTGAAACCTTAAGACTGGGTGATCTGTAATGTTTCCAACATATCTTCGACTGCCTTAAGAGAATATTTGGTTTCCTTCTTACTTCGACCTGCAAACTAAAAAAAAAAAAAACAAAAAACTCAATTAAGCTCAATTTCAGTGGCAAGTTCAAAATGACAATCTTACCTTCACATTGCTAATGAAACTCAACATTGACTACTAGGAAATCAAATACAGTCTTTGTTTTTTCAGTAAGAATAAAATTTGGGTATTAAGGACATATTCCTTTAAGGTCTCACCTTCAGTTTAAGTGTACAGAGATTTCACTGAACACTTGACCAGTTTAAGTGTTTATGTAGTATATTAACCTATAAAATCACAGATTTGAAACTATCCTATTCAGACTCAAAAATATGAAATAAGAATAATTTAAAAATGCAATTTAGCTTATATTTGTATAGGAATGTGAACCATTTCTACTTTTCTAACCTCTAAACAAATTTTTACAATTTCAAAGGTACAATATAAATATTTTATTAAACATTTTAAAGTTGCAAGTACTCTCTAAAATTATTTAAAGTAGCTAATAATTTTTTTTTTAAGTTTCCAGATTTATTAGTTAACTAAATGATATGGTTCTGGAACGAGTTGTCAAGGAAAACTCTATGCTACACATTAAAACAATGTAAACATGTTTTAAAGTATGCATTTCTACTTTAATAATTGTAATTTACATTATAAAACTCATTGGGATTGGATTTTACTATGAAAACAAAATATAATGCATCTAGTATATACACAAAATATACCCCATATTTGTGTTTTTAAAGCAAATTCATGGCATATTGAATTCAATATTGTACACATAATCACTGGAGGGAAACACTGAATACCACATGCTGATTTCAAAATGAGTTTTTTAACTGGACTGACAATTCCCATCATATATCAGTCTGATTTAAGAAAAAAAATTTACTAGATAATTAAGTGTTCCTTGGTGGAGATGGGAGTAAGTTTATTTTATATATATATGTGTATATATATATATAACCCATTTTCCCCTGGTTAAATATGATTAAAATACTTGGTACTAGCAACCAAGCATCAAACCACTCAATACATTTTCAGGTGACTGATCATTTCTTCAAATAACAATGCTGTCTTAAGCCCTTAGTACTTGATTTATGATGTGTTTCTCAACTTTTGTAATTAACTTAATTTGGCAAACTTCTCACAACCTGTTCAGAAAGATTAAGTGATCAAGCACAGGTAACATCATAGAAGCAACAGGCTTCAGGAATTGGTAACCTGTCTCTGACCCCTCTGGCTACAGCTTAACATTATGATTCCCCCACTTCTTAAATTCTAAACCATTAGATTAGTTTCTGTAGTTCAACCCTGATTTGAAAAAGTAAATAAAGGATGCTTCTAGGGGAAACGCCAGAGGAAAAAAAGCTTCTTATAAAATCAAGATCACCTTGCCTTTCAAAAGGAATCACTAATTTAAGGAATTCATATGTTAAATATGGTAACAGCAATATCACCTTTAAGGCTTGTCTTTTTATAATTTCCCCGGAGGACTAAAGGCTGTGAGGCGTGCTTATTACTTCTGCTATCCAGTTAATAAATTCACTTTCACAAGGATTTACCAGGAACCAGAAAGCTTTTTCTTTTACCACCATTTATGCAACATAAATAGGAATAGTCTTAATTAGACACTTAAAGGTCTAATTCTGAGAAAAAATTTTATGGGTTGGCAGAGGGGTACAGAATAGGACACCACACATAGTACCATTATCACATATTAACATTTATTCTAACACTTTTAAATAGCAAAGTAAAAATAAAAAATTCTGTAGAGCTAAAACCATAACATGTATTTTTATATACAGTATTTTCTTGGTTTGTACTTAAACATAAAAATAACACAGTGTGATCATTTAAAATTAGCTAATTTAATAGAGTCACCTAAGATGGTGTCAACATTATTCACAACCAGTGCAATTTAGAATAAATCAAATGAATGTACTTGTGTCAGAACAAATAAAAGAAGGTTGGAAATACAAATCTATCATTTCAAATTTTACCTGACATGCAATTATTCTGTCTATTCCAGAATTGTATGGCAATTTAACTGATTAAGTCAGAATCATTTTTTCCCTCAAATCATAATTTAATTTTCTGTTTCCCAAAAGGATAGTAACAGAATCACCACTGCAATCATAAATAACATATAAATCACTAGCACAGACAGATTTACCAGTGCACCAAAGAAGCCTTTATCTGGAAAATTATTTTGAGTAGGTTCACATTAAAATTTTTCAAGACCATTAATCAAATGTGTCTGCCTCTACTGAACATGCTAAACCAATTACCTAACTGAAGAGCAAATAGCCATATTCTGTTTCATCATTAAATGGAAACCAAAAAAAAAGCAGTTATTGAAACCAAGTTTTCCCTAATTTATAAATATCTAGAAAAATCACATGAAATATTATATACTTGATACTGGTTTATATGCCTAGATATGACTGGTTTATATGCCTAGATATGATTAAGAAATTCTCCCTGAGATCCCAAAGATTTACCTAGTTATCAAAAATGTCACTCTCTCAAAGTTACACTCTTCTACATTACCCACAAATTCTGTATTTTTATTTTCATACATTTAGATTCTCTATAACATCTATAAGAAAACTCACCAGAAAAAAAAACACACACACACAATAAAACAACCAAATAATAAAAACTTGCTTATCAAATTCAGAGGTCAGTGATTCATCCATTGTAATAACTGAGATACCGTGGGCTTAAATTTGCCTTTATACAATTTATGGAAAATAACATGGGTAGACAAAGTAATAGGATATATGAAATGGACTGCAAATGAATGAATCTCAAAAACATGCTGAGTGAAAGAAGCCAGACACAAAAGAGCATGTAACCTATGAACTCATCTACACAAAGTTCTAGTATAGGCAAAACTAATGTTTGGTGATAAAAATCAAATCAGTACTTGTCTGTCTCCTAGTGGGGGATGAGGATGATTGCAAAATGACAGAAGGAAACTTTCTTGGGTAATGAAAATGCTATTTTGAGTCGGGGGCTGGCAAGGGTGTGTACACATTTGTCAAAACTCAAAAGTGAACATACTTCAAATATATGCACTTATTACATGTAAATTACACCTCAATAACATGGATAAAAAGGAACTAAAACAAAAAGGATGTGATTTATGGAGTTATACAATAGTGTAGTAAATTGCCAAATCACTACATATGTTTCTTTTCCCACTGAGAGGTGAAGTCTTGTACCCCTTGAGTCTGGGTTAATGATGAGACTTGCTTTGACTCATGAGATATTAGCAAAATGTGACACATCCAGAGGCTTACAAAGCACATGGACATTGGAGCTTGCCTGTTTGCTGTTCTTCAAATCCTGAGATCACAATATGAATAAGCCCAAGTTAGACTGCTGAATGACAGGCATGGTCCAGTACCCCTAGCTGACAGAGAGAGCCAACTGTCAAGCTATTGTTTAAGTGAGGCCATTGACCACCAGCACACTGCAGAAATATGAATGCGCCCAGGCAAGACTAGCAAAATTACTCAACCGATCTCAAGCCTACCCAAAGAATCATAATAAGTTGGTATTTAAAACTACTAAGTTGGCAAAAAGTAATGGATAAAAATACTTATAAAATCTGATTCACAGGGGAAAAAAACAGAACCTTTGTAAAGAAAGTATTGAATATGAAAGCTTCAAAAGCACCAAGAAATTTTACTTAAAACTTGTTATTTGTGTCAAGAGGTTAAAATAAATTTTTCATGAGGGGTGACTCCCAGTTGAGTATTAGAAGTTGCTACATAGAAACCTGACATGACCAATTGAGAGGTATGTTATCTTCTGAGGCTGGTATCTAAAATAAATGAGAAAAATTATTTGTATTATCCTTCCCTATGGAGTGAAGAAAAGGCAGATCACACTTTCAATAAAGATGTGGAAAACATCTCTAAGTACAATGGAGTTTACAGTGCAAAACTCAGAGAACAGCAAAAATGATGCTATCAGAGTTCTTTCCAAAGAACGCTGAGACTTTACAAATAATGAAAATAAGACTTTATGAAAATAAGACTTTATGAAAAGAAAATTCAATCTAATAACATACAATTAGAAAGAGAGACAGAATGGCAGGGAGAGCAAATGTTACCAAGGAACAAGATTTGGTTCTATGAACAATGGCTGAAAATACTGAAATAATAGATTCATTTCCTAGTGGTAAAGTGTATCTTATAAGGCAGGGAAAACCATGTCTACCCAGAGATCTAATCAAGGGAGCCTTGTAACACTGAAGAGACAGGGAGAAGGAAAAACAACAAAGCAAAACTCTTGAATTAAGTTACTATTGAGAGCTTTATGTCTGAAATGAAGAGAGAAACATGTGGGGTAGGGTATCAATTGTTTATATAATAAAATAATTGAGGAGGTAATTGGAAGCTATGACAACTTCAGAGACATTTACACCTATCTTAATAGAGGCAATATACTTTAACCCTTAAGAGTACCACTCATGGAGTCAGACTGCCTGGGTTTGAAAACAGCTGTCATTAACCAGCTGTGTCACCTTGGGAAAGTTATTTAATCTTTCCATGCTTTAATCTCCTTGTTTATAAAACAAGAAGAGTGCCTAGGTTATAATAAATTCTTTATGTTTGCTTTTATTATTAGTTGTTATTATTGCAATGATCAGAGCAGCTATAATAAAGTGAACTTAAAGACTATGATTAACAAACACAATGTAACGCATATTACTGTGATTTGGTATAAATTGTTTTAATTTCTTTAATTCTCAGAATATTTTATTATGTCCATCTTGCAGAAGAAAAGCTATGCCAAAAGATGTTATGTAATTTATTCAAGTTTGCACAGCTAATAAATATCAGAGTCAAAATTTGAACCCAGATAACATATATCTAGCATCTGTAATCTTCTTTTACTACAATGAACTAGTTTCCATGGACAGGACTCATGATAGAATACAAAGATGAATAGAAACACTGGATATCCATAGGGAGAGCAATTGATCCCCTATTTCACATCATACATAAAAATCAATTTAAGGCCATATATAGTGGCTCACACATACAATCCCCAGCACCCCACTGGGAGGCTGAGACAGGAGAATTACTTGAGGCCAGGAGTTTGAGACTAGCCTGTGCAATACAGCTGGACCTCATCGCTATAAAAATTTAAAAATTAGCCAGGCATGGTAACATGTACCTATAGTCCCAACTACTTGGGAGGCTGAGGCAGGAGGCTCACTCAATCCAGGTGGTTAAGGCTGCAGTGAGCCATGATCATGCCACTGTACTCCTGCCTGGGTGGCAGAACCAGATTCTGTCTCCAAAAAAAAAAAAAAAAAAAAAAAATCAATTCCAAATGGATTGTGGATTAAATATGAAAAGTAAAAGAATAGAAATTCTGAAAACACACAGAATTATCTTTATGACCATGAATAGCAAAAGATTTCTTAAACAGAACACAAAAAAACAAAAATCATAACAGAAATGACTAAGGAATTTGAACACATTTCATTTCAGAACTTCTATTCATCAAGATCATATGATAGCGAAAAAGTAGGGAATCATACACATTTGCTTATACATATAACTAAAAAAGGACTCATAAGCAAAAAAATTAAAGAAATATGTCATGCAAACCAATGAGAAAAAGATTTCACAAAAGCGGATATCCGAATGGCAAATAAATGATGATCAGGAACATTCAAAATAGAACCATGAAATACCACTCTACCCATGTACCAGAATGGCTATAATTACAAAGACTGACAGAATCAAGTGTCGGTGAAGATGTGGGACTATTAGAGCTCTTAAATACTGCTGATGGGAGTAAACTAATTTGGAAAACTGCCTTTACCTACTAAAGTTAAATATATACATATTCTATGACCCAGTATTTCACTCAAAGGTATACAGCACTGCATATACAATAAGAACTGCACATACATGTACACCAAAAGGCCTATACAGCAATATTCAATGTAGTTTATTCACAATAGTCCAAACAGAAAATATTCCAAATGCATATCAATAACTGACGAAATTATAACATTCATACAATAAACTACAGTAGAAGAAAATGAATGAACTACAGACATAAACAAGGATAAATCTCATAAACTGAATAATGAAAGAAATACGCAAGACAAAAATGAATACATACTGGTTGATTCCATAAACTATACGTTTATAAGTGAGTACTCTTAAGGAATATAGGAGGAGAAATTGAGAGGATTTACAAAGAGGGCTTTAGGATGCTACAATGTTTATATTTATTAGCCTGGATACATTTACCTTTTTTAGTCACTGAAATGTACATTTATGACTTGCCTTCTTTTTTCTGTTGTAATTCTTATTTCTATGTTATAATTTCATACAAACTGATTTTAAAATATAGTTATGTCTGAAAGCACTCTGAGAATGTAACTGTTTTTATAAATATCTTAAAAACAATGATGTAGTATGCATAGTGTTAGTTTTATATTACACAAATCTTACCTTTAAATCACAAACACACATGCGCCCCCAAGCCTCCTCTGTGTGGAACTCCATTACAGATCTGAGCTATCCCAAACTACTTTTGGAGACACACAGCCTGACTAATATTCATAAATACTCTGACTTACAATATGCCAACAAAACTAATATGCTCTATAACAGATAATAAAAATACACAAAGGTGACTTTCAATGATGTGATTACACAGGCACTACATTTTAAAAATCTCCTCAATCTTCTCCAACCAGAAGGGCAAAAACGAACAACAGTTAAAAAACAAACAAACAAAAAAAAAACAACATAACAGAACCTAAGCCCACAGATGACATTTTCAAAAAACTGGTTAACAGTCAATTTTCTAAACCCTAGAATGTGACTATGACATCAAGAGCAGCACGACCTACAAAAGATTAACAACTGTGTAGTAGGAGAAATAGAAAATAGTAGAGGACAAGCTACTACTCCACAAGAAGCCCAAAACCAAACAAATTATCAATTCCTAATCTACTAAACAAGAGAACCTGAGTTGATACATCTGCCAATGGCCTAGAAAAGTCTTTATGAGCTCCAAAGATAAGTGTAAAAAACTGCTCACAAATATAAGACAAGTCTAACTAATATCTTAAAATCTCTAAAATATCTAGCAAACACCCTCTTCCAAAAGGACAAAACCTAACACCCTGAAGAAAAACAATTAAAAACTGAAACCAAACTGAGTAGGGCAGAAACACCAGGATAAGAAGGAGGGATGGTTCGGATATGGAGGGTTAAGGAAGTAAGTGATGTCCAGAGACAGCAATCCCAGAAGAAAACAAAACAAAAAGGAAGGAACACAAACTGTAACAACAATATGTAACATTTAAAGCTGAGAGCAACACCTCAGAATTCAAGATCTTGAGAGCTCTAGCATTGAAGAGAGGGCTGAAGCCAGAAAATCCTTCTGAGTAACACTCAATTCTCAGTTCTGAGAAAGACTGGCTATCCAAGGAGGTCATACTTGAGTTCTCGTTGGCAAAAAGGAGGCAGCCATAGAATAGCCAAGCTGGGAAAGTTACCCTAACTTATCTCCAACTCCCCACCATTCCATAAACATCTCCTCCCAATAGTCCAGGAACACTAGCTCATTTAAACATGGAGAACAAGAAAAATATGAATCAATTTCATAAAAAATTATGGAGAAAACATAAAATACAGAAAACGACAAAATAATCTGAAAGAAAATGAATAATAAAGGACATATAAAAAGGAAATGTAATATACTTATTACTGAAATCCTGAAAAAGAAAATTAAGCAGAGAAAAAAATGTAATTCTAAAAGCAACTTTTCTCAAATAAAAGGGCTAAATTGGGGTACTAAATGGGCGTACTGTGTATTTGGGAAAACTGACCCAAGAATAATCAATACAACAAATCATAGTAAGACTATTGGATTTTAAAGGTAAAGAAAAAACTCCTTTGGGTAACCAGACAAACAGTCTAAATCACTTATGATAAAAAGCAAGTCAAGATGGCATCATACTTCTTGACAGCAACATTTCAGTCTAAAACAGAATGAAACAGTTGAGCATGGTAGTGGCTGCACCTGTAGTCCCAGCTACTTAGGAGGCTGAGGTAAGAGGATCACGTGAAGCCAGGAGTTCAGGGCCAGCCTCGGCAATATAGCAAGACCTCATCTCTATTAAAAAAAAAAAAAAAACAACCAAAAAATCTGAATAATATGCTTAAGATATTTAGGTAGAGTACCAAAGGGTATATAAAAAGCCAAACTGTCTTTTAAAAATAAAGGCTATAGACAAATAGCCATAAACATGTAAGATGTAAGATGTGTTTTCCCATGAGCAAATTTCTCATGAAAAATAATTTTCTAAAAAAATTTGCTAAAGATGAGCTTTAGAAAACTAAAATACAAATGGGGAAGCTTCAGTGAAAGATCTGGGGTATACGCAGACTGCATAAACTCCGTTATGCAGTTTAACATTTTAAAAAAGGTCTAACTTACTTTTAGGCTTTTCTTCCTTCTTTTCCATTTCTTGAGATACCTATGATTAATAATAAACTCACATACCCAACCTGCTTCTGAAATGCAATATGATTTTTTTTTAATCCTTTCTGAGTTTTTAGAATTACTTTGCATTTGCCAAATGCATAACCACTGAAGTTTCCAGATGGTAAGGCTAATTATTAAATAATAATACTAACAGATTCCTCGAGGGGAAAAAAAGGTAGTCCTAAAACTACAAATTAATTCTACACAAGTAAAACCCATTTGATAAAGCCCCAAAGGTATATATAAGTCCAATGCTAGACATCTGACTTTGTAGTTTGTAGAAATAAAAGTAACTAAGAAATACACATTAACTGATCTACATAGCAAAATCATCAATAAATACTAACCTGATAAGCTCTGTTTATTTGACTAGCTGCCCAACTAGCATATTTCATGTTGTCCTTTTTCGTTTTTGCACTTGCTTTTGGATTAGAAGCAATATGACTTGCCGACTAAAAACAAGCAAACAAAAACATCAAAAGGAAAATTCCTTTTTTGCTAGTCAAGATAATAAAAAACATAAGGGACATGGTTGCAATGGGATGACAATAAAGAGTGTTTAAAAACTGTACCAAAATAATTTTTAATACAAACATAAAGTTGAATATTAGTGCTTAAAAATGAAAACATATTTTAAAATACAGTATAATCCAAAATAACAGAAAGAGAAAGGATTTTTTAAATAATACCTAAAATTATTTAATTATGTATCTACAACAGCTCTTAAAGATAAAATTCCATATAATTTAAATAAAGAAGCTACAGAAGAACACTTTAAAAACGAAAAGCACTTTACCAGTGTAGGATATTACTGGTGTTATTTCTTTTTATTGAATTACATAAGCTTGTCAATGTCAGAATCATAGAATTATCAAATATTTATAGAAAAAGCAAACTCAAAAATAATTTAGCCTGATATCCTACATTAATAGGTAAAAGAAATTTAAGTCCAATAAGTGAGCTTTAACTTGACCAGGGCAAAATAATGGGTCTTTGAAATAAAGAAGATCCTTATCTCTAATCCATTTCTCTTTTCACTATACCATGAGTTTTCAAACTGTGTTTTGAAAGAGAACCAATTAGTCTCTGCAATTTGATCCACCTTCTCTTTTTTAAAAATGTATTTAAATGAGTAGTCTTAATCTGGGATCTGTGAAAGAATCCATAAAACCCCAAAACCATATGCTAATTTTAAAATATATATATCACTGCAAAGAGAAAGATATAACTTTAAGTGTACTCCTTAATATATTTTACTCAAAATAATCTGAGCATGTGATTCAAAAAAAGGTTAGGCCTTTCTTTTACACCTAGCCTGTGCATATGTCTCCCTCTCTGCCACTGAAAAATCTATATCCCAAACTCTGATTTTTATACCTCTATATCTTTAATGTTAGCTTCTTGTTATGAATTTTAGTAGATGTAGAGGTTAAGAGAAAAACTCTGGAGTTAACTTCCTGGGCTGGAAACCCCATTCAATCATCTAGGAACTCTGTGGCCATCTTTGGGCAAATTAATTAAATCTGTGTCTCAGTTTCACCGTCTGAGGATAGCATAGAGCACCTACTCAATAGCTGGTGTGAGCTGTGAGGATTTGTTTATTTAAAATAAAAAACGGAGCTCAGAACAATGCCTGGCACATAAAGTGCTATATGTCAGTTATTAATAATTTGTTATATATTATACAGTTTTATTAAAATTAGTATTTATTTAATAAAGAGATACTGCTACTATAGTATATACTCAAGCCACTGCAACTGACTTTGCTAGAATCCAGGAAAATTTTCTTGAAATTTCTTTGAACCATTTTCTAACCATGTTTTGCCATTCCTTTCTAAAAATTACTTCATTTTTGTTTCTTCCTATCTCCATTTCTTTAATTAATTCTTTTTCACTGAGCCACAACAAGAAGACACTCATCAAGAAGTCCGTCTCAAGAACAGGATAAATAAAAAATTCAAAGAACTGACATATTAAAGTTTATTTTTCCTAGCCTTTCTTATTGTAGAGAGGTGTTCACTTTATATATATGTTTTAAAGGTCAGCAAATTCTTCCACTATTTCCTGTAGTGCTTATTAATTGACTTTTCTAAGCTCTGCATTTGGCATACCTAAACAGTAGATAATTATATACTTCCCACAATTTCCAAACTATTTTTCTACACCATAAAAAATGTTTTAATTTGATATATTAGGAATTTTATTTCTAATGTCTTTTACTGGCATAGTTTAAAAATACTTCATACAACTATAATTTAGGGAAGAAATACAATAATGTTGGGCATAAACCGAAGAATATCAAAACAAAAAATCATATTATGTTTTTTTCCTGTTACTATTTAATTTTATAAGGGCAGATTTCAATTCTGATATAATAAAAGATATTTTACCAAAAAATGTTAAACAGCTAGGCTGTAGGAACATTAAAAAATAAAAGTGGCTTACAAGCTATTGCTCAGAATTAATTATAGAAAAACAGCATATGCTTATCAATAAAATACATAAAACAGGAGAAGAGTGATTGGAGGGAATAGTTAAGTGGATTTTAAGTGACAGATTTTTTAAAATAACATTAAACATGCACCTCAACTCACCATATAAAGCCCAAACAAAGCTCTCATATTTCTGTTGTTCAGTTTCAATGCCTGTGCAAAATACTTTCTTGAAAGTTCGAGGTTTTCAAGTCCACCTTGGGTATATTTAACCTGTTAAAAATTGCAAAGTGCTGAAAACTGTTTATTTTACTACTCTGAAATATAGCATGGTTTCATCATACCATAAATTAAGTAATCGAAACAGATATTCTCTGTAAACAAATACAAGATGTTAAAAGAATTCACCTAAAGGTTTTTAAGGCTAATCTAAAACTTAAAACATAACCTTCCCCAAAAAGCTATTCCGTTCTACGAACACTGAGATGACTGAGTAGTTTCTAAAACAAAAATGCTGTCACAATAAGAAGCCAGAATAATTTCTATTTCAACTGCCTTGTAAATGCTTCATTTCACATTATATTTTCTATTACTGGTATTATAAATGTGACTTAGATACTGAATTGTCCTTTTATAACCTGCACAGACAGTTTTTAATAATGAAGTCCTTCTAGCCTTACAGCATTCAATTGTACTGATATTCTTAACAGTACCTGAATTAAATAAATACTTCCCATGTCCCAACTGGCTTTAATACAAACTCCCTAGAATATGAATTTAACAACCACAATCACTGTAAATGTCTCAGAAGCCATTAGGTAGTGACGAATGTGATATACTATAATTAGGAAAGAAAATAGTACACAAATATAAAAATACAAGGAATATCACTGTTTTAAGTATGACTTAATTGAAGTCAGTATTTCCATTGCAATGTTAAACTTTTATTCCCACAACTCAATGCTCTTCAGATGTTTTAAATATTTATGTACTTGCTTAACATGAAAGAAATATTCTTAGTTCCATAATAATACCAAATAGTAACCAAAATAAAATTATATGCCATTGTTTGAAAACACTTACTTCAGCATACTGCTGACAGTATAAGTGGTTGTGTGGATTAGTCATCATTAGTTCCTCTAAACAAAAGGCTGCTTTTGCATAGCTAAAAACACATCAAAAAGAGAAATTAATTTTAAAAATCACAAATTTTATCTTAGTTACACCTTGAAATAATTTAAAAACAACTTTAGTGATGTTAAACAATTTATTCCCAAAATAATTTACATAGTTTTATTAATGAAGTATTTGTCATCTGAAACTCATAAATATCAATGACATTGAATTTTTTCATGAAATTAATCAACATAGACTTAAATCTTAAAGCTGCCTCTAAACAATCAATAGATACCACATTTTAAAAATTGGGTCACTACTACTACATCCTATCATGACTAATAACAAAGGCTTCAAAACCTTGGATCAAGTTGTACATAAAACAACTTCTGGAAGTTGACTGATGATTTAATAAAATATTTGAACAGCTAATGTTTAAGGAGAAAATAAACATTTCTTAAATATTCTCTACTCACTAAAAATTCTTCACAGGCATGTATTTAGCAACAAATTCTATTACAAAGATTTCTCTCATTACTTCAGTTTACTGTCAAATACCAAATTAAAATGAAGTTATAAATTTCTACCCATAAAAAATAGATCAAGTTGGTTTTCATATATACTCTGCTATTATTAAATCTGTGGTAGAATAAACAAAAATCTTGCTGAAAACCTAAGAAGACAGAACTGCCAGAAAGGGCTCTGAAAAACAATTTTAAAACATCTGAGTATAAATCACTAAATATATTTTATATGTTTAATGCCATGTGACTATCTATCCTCACTAGCTACAGGAAATCCTAATAAATATGAGTGTTAGAAGATTTCTTCCCAGTGAGGAAGTGATGACACTCAACAAAAAGAGGGTACCTAAAGTTATTTTTGGCATTTGTTACCAATATACAAAGGTATCTGCCTTTACGCTAATGCCTGATATACTTACTTTTAAAAATTATATTCCTGTTTCACACATATATACTAATAGCAGCTTTTACTAAATGCTTATGTGTTATTGTTCCACATGTGTTACATGTATTAACTCATTTAATCCTACCAAAACCCTAGGAAGAAGGCAATTATTATCACCATGCTAGAGCTGAGAATACTGAGGCACAGAGATGTAAACTGAATCCCAGGCTGTACCACTCCAGACAGCCTGTACTCTTTAACCACGACATATGGCATTATACACCACATTGAAAAATTGAAGATGTCAATGGTAACATAAAAATGTATATAGCAGTCACACCCAAAGGGATTGAGGACATAAATACACCCTGTTAATTACCTAATAATTACAGCATTTTAGATTTCTGAATACACACACACACACACACACACACACACACACACACACACACACTCTCTCTCAGCCAAGATCATGCAGCTATTTAGCCCTTTCTATTTTTAAATTCAAACCCTAGTGCTGGTTCTTGACACAGGATAGGTATTTAATAAGACTGAACAAATGACTGAATAAATGTCTGAAACAAAAGTATTATGACTACCTACCTACCCATTTATTTATCACTCTAAAAGGGAAAAATTGTCTGTACCTTAAACACTTTATCAAAAGACAGTTCTCTTGTAAATGTGTTCCTCTAATTATTAATAGTATGATGACAAAAATTCATAGTGAGACTAAGAATAAAATTTCTTAGTGATTTAAATGGGTTGAGCACAACTGTGATACTGGTTCTTATAGAGCATAAAGCAAGATAAAATGGGGAGGCAGTAGTAGCTCTTAGGGTAAAATGAATACCAAGATATTTTCTCAAAAATTAATTAGCAGCACACATAAGAAAGAAAAGGATTTCTTCCCCTACTTTTACAAAGTACACTATCAAACTAATTTTGTGAATAAAATATAGAATTAAATAAAATTAGAGCTAGAAGAAGCTCAAGAGATGGTCTAGGCCAGCCAGAGGCCATTGTTAGGCCATACAGAAAGTGACTATTTCCTCAACCTTGTCAGGGATAATCCATAGCTAGTACTATCCTAGGTGCACAGAAAAGTTATTCATTATATAAGTGGACTCAACAAGACTAGGACTAGAGAAATAAAAATAATTTGAATCTACTTAAAAGAGAATAACAATTGCTATTATTATGTTAGAGTCAGCAGTAGAACTAAATAAAGTTTTCTTCTCTTCCTTACAAAAGTATATATAACTAAAGGTTATAGTATTTGGAACTGTATATTGCTTTACCAACATCACGATTTTTCCTTACAGAATTGTGATAATTTCCTTTGATATGGAATTTTAGAAGGCAGGACCTATAAAAAGGAACTATAATCACAATCATAATGAATGTATAATACTAACTGTTCCTTGCTATATAGTATCTAGTTTTAATTACAAATCAAGTAAAATAAATTTGTGTCTTTCATAATGTGAATGTATTTTTGCTTACAAAGGTTGAGAATCCCTTAACCAAAATGCTTAGGACCAGAAATGTTTCGGATTTCAGAATTTTTAGATTTTAAAATATTTGCATTATCTTACTGGTTGAACATCTCTAACCCAAAAATCCCAGATCCAAAATGCTCCAAAGAGCATTTCCTTTGAGCATCATGTGGCACTCAAAAAGTTTCAGATTTTGGAGCACTGTAGATTTCAAATTTTCAGGCTATAGATACTGAACTTGTAATACATATTGGTAGTGCTAACACATAAAAATTAATGGTTTTAAAAATTTAGAACAAGTGTCTCAATATGGTCAATGGGTGTAACACACACCCATGGAATAGCTAAAAACAAACTATAATTTATAAATCAGAAACAAACATAAAAATAGCTTAAAAATATAAAAAGGTTTTGTGGCACAATTCTTTAACTTTTTCTCTATATAGAAACACAAAATAGGGCTATATGAAAATTATACTATGGATATTTATTTGGAGTTAAAAATTCCAGAGCTGAGCATAGTGGCACACCTGTAACGCTAGCTACACAACAGGCTGAGGTGGGAAGAGCACTTGAGCCCAGGAGTTCAAGTCTAGCCTGGGAAACGTTTTAAGACCTTGCCTCTTAAAGAAAAAAAATAGTTTCAGATCTAGGCTACCAAAGCTGCCTGTGACCTATTATACTTTAAAAAGCTTATAACTGTTCATATGCAGAAAAGAACACTGAATGTTAAATATAGCTAACATTTTCTAAACTGCTACAGTTTTGCCACTGTGTCTACAAGACTAGTGCAAAACTGATATCCTACAATGATTTAACATTCCACCAAAAAATTCCTGCCTACTATAATGACTTGTTCAAACATGTCAAATGAATCAAGTAAACTAATTCTAATTTTCACAGTTTCAAAAAATCTGTAGATGTGTATTTATACTCACCGAAACACAAATATTCCTTCTAAGTGTTCAATTAGAAAAAAAAAATGGTCATTTTGTAACTAACTGGCATTAAGACCAAGAAGACTTTTGTGATAATCGATAAAAGGGTAGGCTGACCATATTGTCATTTCTGCTAAAAAATAATATTTTTCAGGTGTTCCCACATCTTTGTATTTCTTGATTTTTTTTGCAATATCTTAAGTGTACATTCAATTCTATTTCAATAAACTCTTTAGATTCAAAACAAGGCAAAACTGAATGTGGTGCGACTTGGTGAAACAAATAAATTTAATGGTAGGTTAAAAATAGTGTATAACCTAAATTTGATGATGACATAAATATTAGAAATACATGCAAAACAAGAAAACTGTAAATGAAGCAGGGAGAAAAATGTGCTATATTTTTAAAGTCATTAAAAGATAGAAGACATGATAATGTTAAAATTGATGTATCCGACTTTCTAAATATACATGTAAAGTTTCAATAATTTAAAAAAGTCAGTATTTTAAAAGCATATAACAAGGATATACTCTTGACAACTGGTTGCCCTCCTTTATTTAAAGAGCTCTTAAAAATGAACTAAAATGGTAGAACCAATTCACCTATCAAACTTGTAAAGATTAAAAAAAAAATATATATCACAGTATCCAGTGTTGCTAAAGAGGTACTCTAGTAAATGCTGGTGTGCAAGTAAATTGATGTTACTAGTCTAGGGAACAATAAGGAACTATTTATCAAAACCACAGAAAATGTACATCTTATTTAATCAGGCAATTTTACTTCTAAGAATTAGCCCACAGAAACAAAATAAAGATGATCACTACAGCATTATAGTAAAAATATAAACAGCATTATAGTAAAAATATAAAACAACCTGTATGTCTCCTAGGAAACTGGTTAAAAATACTAGGATATATTGATAAGATGAAATAATATAAAGCCATTAAAACCACAATGTAGACTGTTACAATAACAAGACATTTCTGACAAAATATAACTAAGGAAAGAATAAACTATAAAACATAAACTTTATTTTGGGCTTTTGTTTTAAAAGGTAAGAAAGGACAAAAATCAAACACAGTTAACTTAGGATGGTGGAATTACATGTAATATTTGTCTTGGTCTTTATGCTTTATTATGTTTCTCAAATATTCAGCATTAGGTATTTCTTTATCTTGAAAAGAAAAATTTCCCTGATGATTTGAAATGTTTTTAAATACTTTTAGTCAGAAAATCTTTAAAAAGTACACAAAAAAGTTAAATGACTCACCTGTTTTAGAAACAAAATAAAATGTTATTTTTACCGTATTCTAAAAATTCAATTCCATGTATTTAAAAATAAGTATTATATACTGTCTCACATGCATAAGAAATCATGAGTATGTTTACGTATGTGTACGTACAAGCATATTATCTATACTGACTGTGATTCAGGAAATTATTTCCTACTCAAAACCAGAATATCTGTTTCAGAGTATAGCAAAAAACTTGAAAAATAGTTCCCAGAATATAGTACACATTCATTAAATGACAGCTATTACTTTTATTTTAGCTCCCACTTTTCTTAGACTTATGCAAATTGACTACCTCAATCCTCTATATCACATTATATATATAGACCACAGACAACAGACAAATGTCTTCATTCTATTTTATTTCTTGTCACTTCTTGGTAGTGTATGAGAACAAGGTTAAATATTCATGTACAAGAAAATGTGCATGAGAATTTGATTCTATTCTGTGAAAAAGAAGGAAAAGAAACAATGTAATATACTTCAGACTCAGAAGGACTAAGGAAAAAAAAATATGCCTCTAGACGGAGGTTAGCATTAATGCTGTAATATTAGAAAACTTGCACTAAGACTCTGGACTAATCCTCTCACACTGGGATTTCCTCCTGTCACTACAGCAATAAAAAAGCTAACAAAAACATTAAACATCCAATAAGCAAGTTCCTACAGCATTCAACATTCTTGATTATTCTCAGTTTTTTACCCAGGCAACAGAATGCTTCTACTTTGGAAGAGTTGATTCTCTTAGTACTAAGGCTAATACATGCATACAATTGACAGAATTTTTAAACAGCAGGGAATATAATACTCTTTGTATATAAGAACAATCTGAACCCTAAAAGTTCACAATTCTGATTCACCAAAAATAAACTTAGCTAATAAATGTAGGCCTTTTTATTTCCAAAGGTGTCATCTATATTTGAAAGAAAAACTTATTTCCTAAACAAAAACAATTTAACAAAACACAAATGACCTAGTTAAAGCTATTCACATATTATGACCAGCAAATTATTGATTTGTTCTTTTTCATTTAATTGTTGATTTGTTTTGTTTTTCATTTCAAATGACATGATTCACATCTTCTTACCAATCCTTTGGAAATCACTGTACTTTCTGAACTTATAGTGATGAAAATTGCACTCAACAAAATGTTAAATGTGTTTAATAACTTACTCATGTTCATTGATATAAAGTTCTGCAAGTTCATGCCAGGCTTCTTGGTCTCCAACAAATCTGTTGAGAGGAAAAGAAAAAAAAGTAAGTGTATAGATATTCTGTAAATGAACAGCATGAAGACAAACAGGAAAATCAAATGCAAATTCCATTTTAATTAAAAAAGATTTATCAGAATAACAAAACACGATCCTCTTGTAAAACACTCACTGTTCCAGATACTCATTCAGTTCCCGAATGGCCTCCACATTTTTCCCCTGGGCTTTTCGAATGGCAATCTTACGCTTTCTTGCAGCCTGTGGGTTGACATTAATAAAGGATTAGGCCCTCATGATTCCTTGAGGTTTTGTAAAGAAGGTAATTTGACTGTGCAAATTATTATCTCAATGCCAGAGAAATTCCATTGTAGAACTACTGCTTAGTGAGAGTTTATAAACATACCCCATGACATCCCACTGGGGAATTCAAACATTCCTCTAACAATCACATATGCTTTACTTTTGATGCACACAATGTATGCATCGTTTCATCCAAACAAATAACCATCCAGATTCTGATAATTACTAGCCAGCAGGGAATCCTAATCTTTATCCAACTTAAAGTCCTTTACTCTGTCTCATTCATAAGATCTGTATCCTAAGAGGTGGAGGAATAGTGGAGATTAGGGGAAAAAGAATCTCACCATGGCATGGCCCTTGAATATCATTATATAAATATGGCTTCTGACAACGTTTTCACAATTTTAAGACAAAATCTACCCATGAATCTTTCACAAGAATAATATAGTCCTGAAATAAATATTTAAAATAAGCAAAACAAGTAAAAGTTGTATTGTAAAATTTTAAAATGATAAACATAAAAATCAATGCCATTTATTTGTGCATTTATCAAGTATGTACCAGATTTCTATTGTTTGCCAATACTGTGCTAGACAATGAAAATATAAAGATAAAAAATAAATGGTAATTCCTTGAAGGAGCTCAGTCTCAGGACAAAAACATATCAAATAAAAAATTTAATGTAGTAAGAGCAATGGCAGAGATATCTAGGGTGTTGTAACAGCAAGGAAGAGATCCCGACACATGCTGTGGCAGAGTGGATGAAGTTGAAAGACAGGAAGCAAAGATGGTCCCACATGTGATACCCCAAAACAGAGTAAGCAGACATTAAGAAACAAAACAGGAAGTTATTTATGGACACTGCAGAGTGGGAAGAACACATGAGCAAAGGCATAGAAGAAAGCAGTATTGTATGTAATTGAGGCTACCAGTTTAAGGCTGAAGTAAACAGTCAGGGACTGCAGTGTGCTATATAAATATTAAATTTACATCCCCACTATTTGTTTACTTCAAATACAGAAGGATAAACAATAAAGCATACTATAATTGAGGACAAGCTAAACATTAATTATGAATATAATTTCTTATTGTTTTATATAATATTCCACAAGATGAAGTCAGAAGTAAAATGGATATGGCCTCTTTAGAGTATCAAGAGCTACTCATCACGGGGTGGTGGGTGAGTGATTTTGCTCTGAAGAAATGAAAGTGAAAAGTTTAGAGAAATCAAGAGACTAAAAAATAAAGGTCAGGGAAATATTTATAATAACTGTGGTAATATTCCGGTAATTAAAAATGGTTTTGAGAACATATACCCTTAAGCATATCTTGAGAGTGAAAAATTAAATGGAATTAAAAAAAGAAGCTACATCCTTAATTAATCAGGTCATGCCAAAGGCCTTAGCACAATGCTTGTCACACAGTAGGCACATTCATATATTTTAAAAATAAGTTTACTGCGTAAAACAAAAAAAAAGCAACACAATAAATGTAAAGTTTTAAAAGTCTCAAGAACTCAGAAGTAAAAGTAAAGCTCTGAAAGTAACTCAAACGCTAAAGCCATTATGAATATTAGACTTAAAAGGGGAGCATTGTCCCTAGTCCTCCCAATAGATGAGAGATAAATTAACATATAATCAAAAAACTGAATTCTTTTGGTCATATAATATCTGATTTCACCAAAATATGAAACATAATTTAAGTTTTTCCTTTCATTTTTCATGACACTACTTCTTCCACAGGCAATATGCAGAGCAAAAAGTCTAGGTTTTGAAATCAAAAAGACAAGGAACTGAATCCCAACTCTTACTCTTATCACTTTCCAGCTTTTTTAACCTCTGCAAACCTCAATAATACCATACACCTCCAAGCATCAATATAAAGCAACTAACATAGCATATTAAATAAATGTTATTTTTGTTTTTTTAAAATATTTGGGTCTATGCTTAACATGTATGTATTAAACCTTGCTACAAAATTCTAACTAAGTAATCTTTAAAGGACTGGCACAGACTTCCTTTGTTTGATATTTATATCTTGCCCCAATCCTTACAGTATTTGTAACAGCAGAGATGAGATACTGTATACAATGAAAACATGTTGAAAATAATTGGATTCACCTGGAAGCAGTGGTGCATGCCTGTAATCCCAACACTTTGGCAGGCTGAGATGGGAAGATCACTTGAGCCCAGGAGTTTGAGACCAGCCTGGGCAACATAGTGAGACCCTGCCTCGACAAAAATATATTTTTTTTAAAAAAGAAAATATTGCATTCAAATGCCATAAATCAAACAAAAAAATCAAAGCATAAATATGATAGCAACTAACACATCTATAGTAATAAGTATGGTATGAACACTGTCCTGAAACTTAGGCACAATGAGTTTCACGAAGATGGACTGAAAACATCTAACTCTGACTCATTGTTTCAGTGAACTGACCACAGAACCATTCCTCTACTGTTGAACACATACTAATGTTTTTGGGTCAGCAGCATTCTGCAGAATACGGTTTGTAAAGCAATGTTCTAGACTGTTTCAAAGATCATTAATCTTTAAAAGTAACTTTTAAAAGAGAACCCTTTTGAAAATGATGGAAAATAGATGTGTTTCCAACTGAAATGTGTAAAAAGGAGTAGAACTAGAGTACGTGAAATTTCTGATTCTCATCCTAGATTCTTCTGTAAGTCTTCCTGAAAGAGGCTGGGCACGGTGGTTCATGCCTGTAATCCAAGCACTCTGGGAGGCTGAGGCAGGTAGATCACTTGAGGTCAGGAGTTCAAGACCAGCCTGGCCAACACATCAAAACCCCGTCTCTACCAAAAATACAAAAAGTAGCCAGGCGTGGTGGGGCAAACCTACAGTCCCAGCTACTTGGGTGGCTGAGGCAGGAGAATCCCTTGAACCTGGGAAGCAGAGGCTGCAGTGAACCAAGATCGTGCCACTGCACTCCAGCCTAGGCAACAGAGCAAGATTCTATCATAAAAACAAAAGAAAAAATAAATAATAAACAAATAAATAATAGGCTTTATTAATTAGAGAAGGATGCCCCCAAATTCCTACTGTATGAGTAATACATTTCTCAATCATGTAAAACCTAAGATATGGCTAGCATTTTATCTCCTACTATTCTAAAATTTTAAACATTTAAGTGGTACCATTCAGCTATGTAAAGCAAGTCTTCCTAATTAAAATATATATAACAGCTTTAAAAAAAAAAACCTACTAAAGTATCATTACCATATGAGCAAAGGTATATTATTAAGTCATACACTTTTTATTAAATAACAGCCTTTTACAGGCTATTTCTTTTAAAGAAAATCATACTATTTGGGCATAAGAACCAATCTTTATCATAATTGTTTTAAATGAGCATTAAGCAGAGAATTTAGTTCTGCTTAACGCTAATTTAAAACAAGACCAGATTTCCTCCTCCTGCCTTAAGGTCTGGGACTTAGGCAATGAAGGTGATCCCTGAGAGTGGGGAAAACAAACCAGGTGAGCCCCATTTTTATTACCCTGGCTTACTGTTTTGACTGACAGAGTTCCAAGGGTGCTGTGCAGGAAGGGGAAAACCAGGTTGAGCCAAGTGAACTCCCTGAGTTCAGGAGAAGGAACTGAGAGTCCAGAGTGATCAAAGAGGTTAGACTTCACAGGACAGATGCCAGAGAAGAAAGAAAAATAGAGAATAAGGATTCTGGGGCTGTGCAGTGTTCCCTTGAGTACTTAGTTTTGTACTGATTAGTGTATGCAGGTGAGGAAACTACCCAAGGCCGTGGAAAGAACCACCAGAGAGGGTTAAGGGGGAAAGTGCACAGCACTGGTACAGGGCTGGAAATAGTCTCTTCTACCAGCCAGCCTGGAAAATGTCTTGATTCATGTGCACTGAATAGAGTACCTAGAAGAATCTTGCTTCAGCAAATGGGGAATAATTAGCCCTGGTCTAAACACTTTCTGGATCGGGTCTAACAAAAACTCAAAAGGTTAGAACCGTTTGCAAGTAACTTAACTGCATCCCAGAAGAAAGTTCCAGAATATAGGAACAGAAAAATGGAAAGAGGCAAAAGGACACTTTTAAGCATGGCTCTGTTGAGTATCTTGATTGTGCTGATGGTTTCACAGGTATATACAAACATTAAAACATATTAAATTGTAAACCTTAAATATGTACCATTTATTCTATGTCAATTTCATGTAAAAACAGTTAAAAACCAGCATTAAGACTACATGTTAATAGTCTTGAATATTTAACAACTTTGATCTTGCATTTCTTTTACTATTTTTCCTGCAAAATATGCCAAAGTTCTCATTTTTTCTAATCTTGTTTGATCGATCTTTATAAAAGTAAAGTCTTAAAGATGAAAAATTCTGCATCTAAGTGATTTTAATATCTGGAGTTAAAATTTCTATTATAAAATACAAAACTTCAAAAAGTACTCCTTATGATATAGGATAAGTTATTTTTTAAAAGCCATTTAAGGCTGGGCATGGTGATTTACACCTGTATGACTATAATCTCAGCATTTCGGGAGGCTGAGGCGGGCGGATCACCTAAGGTGAGGAGTTTAAGACCAGCCTGGCCAACACAGTGAAACCCTGTTTCTACTAAAAATACAAAAATTATCTGGGTGTGGTGGTACACCCCTGTAATGCCAGCTACTTGGAAGACTGAGGCAGGAGAATCGCCTGAACCTGGTAGGTAAAAGTTGCAATGAGCTGAGATTGTGCCACTGCACTCCAGCCTGGGCGGCAGAGTGAGACTCCGTCTCAAAAAAAAAAAAAAAAGCTATTTAAAGTCTTGCCATATAATTCAAAGCATATCTAAAATTTTAAACAAACAATATACAATGTATCATACATAAAACAGACAACCATTTATGAAAACAAAAACAATGCTAAAAAGCTAAGATAAAAATAGAACACACGTCTTAGTTTTTGCACATTCATACAGAATGGTAC